CGCAGCATTCTGCAGACAAGTCAACATGTCGCTATTTCGGAGGAAGCAAATGAGCTGGCAGGCCGGCCGGCCGGCAACCCGGCTAATTCGCGAGGGTTTTGTTAAGTCGTAGCACTGGAAACACTCAAAACGGCCTCTAACGCATTTCTAAAGATACATTTAAATAACGGATAGGACTAAATCAAACGCTAGGATCACTCACTCATTTTCATTTCGAGATCTTGCATTTGTCCAACGCGCCACCGTTAAGTACGAAGTGGAAGTTTTAAGCATGTAAGAAAGAAGTCTAGTTTTTCATCAACTTGAGCTAACTTAGTTTGAACATCTAAGATAAAAAGAAATAATAGAGAAGTAGAGTCACAGTGGTGTGCGTCTATCCGTGGCAGATTCGGTTTCGATGTGGATTCCATGCGTCCACAAAGTTTGGTCCTTTCCTGGTTCCGCCGATGGAGAAGTCAACGAATGTTTTTGTTCTTCATAGAGCTGTTTGTTGTTCAGAGGAATGGGAAGACGGCTGGATAGGGTGTTATTGGCTTTGGAGCGGCGACGTAGTCGCGTGGCGTCATATGCATGGATCTTTGAGATGTAGGGGCAGCAATGCGAAAAGGTGATGGAAAACGAAGACAGTTCACTTCCGATTTAACTGAAGTAGTGAGTAGAAGTGAATGTGAGAACTTCTTCCTCATTATCTCCAAGGATCTAAGTTGATAACGCAGTGCTCGGTTGGGTAAGCGCATAATTTGGCTCACTAGAAAATAGGAAATCTGCAGCTGTGCCGAATTTCGATTAGCTAACAACTCCCAACGGAGATTTTTCACTCCTTCCCTCTTCTATACTTCTTTAAGCCAAATGAAGAAGTTTGTTGAGAAAAAAATGTATAGATGAAAAAAGAAGCATAACGAAGCAAAAGCACAACAAAGGAGAGAAGAAGGAACAATGAAGCATTTTCAAGGGACCTTCATTTTGAATGGTCCTGATAGATGTCACAAATCTGCTGACTACTCGACTAAACTGCAAAACAGAGATTAGGCTGTTGGCTTCCTCACTGTGGATTGCTATTATCCTGAAAAAAAAACTGAAAACCATAGCAGTATATGTGAAGTATTTTATTATTAGGTCACATTACATTGTCAAAGTAATTCCTGGATTCTTCTTTTCTAGGCAACTCGGTTATACAACGGTATTCGAAGCTATAGTGGTCATTCACGCTACTCTAGCTGCTTGTTGGGTGTGATGTGCATCAAAAAACCATCGTGAGACATCGTAATCGCATCCAGTCGAGTACTGCTTTTTTTCAAACCATATAGCTCTTCTATGTGTCTACTGATATTATTCTAACACTTGTTATACCTTTTTATTTTCTGCCTACTATAATTTCGCGGCAGGGTACTAAGCGAAATACAACCACAACGTTGCTGAGATATTTGCAAAACTCTGGACCGCAGGTGTCTATGGTGGGGAACGAACGCGCTATTGTCCTTTCCGGGGAGTAACGCGTTCACCACCACACCATGCGGGTCCTTTCTTTCTCCTGTCTCTCAGCTATTTCTATCGATCTTTGCCACAGCAATCTTTGTATCGATCTAACACTTGTATTTTGTTTCTTCATTGGTAAAAGAAGGATAAGGCTCTAGGCGTTGGCCAATCCGTGTGGGATGCGCCCTGCATTTGACTTCATTAAGCATCGTTTGGAGGTGATTGAATGCATATCTGGCCTGTATAATGAATGGCGGTTGCCTGCTGACGTATCGAGCCAGTGCTGATATCCTTCCAGGCAAGTCTTTGCCGACCCCCGGCGGGGATGGAAGGTTTGGTGAACCATAGGCGCGGGGATCGATCCCACGTGTGTATCGCAGGGCGCCTCCAACTACTGCGCCATGCTTGCCCTTTTCAATGATATTGGAATAAAACGAATCCTTCGTAATGTTCCAAAAACTGATAGCAGATCTCAATAATAACTTTGCACTCTGTGAATTCATCAAACACCCTCGAATGTTGCGATAAGAGTTTTCAGAGTTTCTGAATCGGATTACGTGAGTAATCTTATGTCTATGACACCGCAATCGACTGAATCCACAACGAAGAACACTTAATGCATTGGGAAAAATCTAATATAAATGTAAGAGAGAATATCAAGAAATTATAGCGAAGTACATTTTAAGTCTAACTTTTATAACATTTCGAAATCGACTTTCCTTTAACATCAGTGTGACTAATCAGTATATACTCTTTCTTTCGTGAGCTTACACGAGGTTGATGAATATATTTATTTTCGGCTAACGTTTCAATGTCTTGGTCTTCATCAGAGCCTTTGTCAGCACCAGTCATCAGCTGACTTTTATTTTTCTCCGTCACCATCTGTTTGATTCAATCCTTAACAAGCATTCTACACTACGGAAAACTTTCATGATAGAAAACTGAAAACGTACGTAAAAAAAGTCGTCTTGGTCATCATGAAAGAATAGCTCCTTTGTCTTTATTATCGTGATCGATATAATATATTCTCCATAAGACTCAATATATCCTAATTTTCTATTAAATATTCATTTGTAGGAGATATTTGTCACTTTCGACTTTTCATAGAAACGGATCACGTTAGTGGTAAAATCATTCGCAAATGAGAACTACTGCAGGTGTTGATGTTCTACGCAGAAATATCTAAGGAGTAACCATAAATTGAACAAAAAAACATCGATTTCTAGAATATACTAAACGGATGGGCACTTTCATTAAATGTCTGACACGACGGACGGAACATTCGTGGACTCTAGTCGGCCCGTCGACGTCTGTGTGCACCTTGAAGGTGCTGCGGGCATGTAGGAGCTGTAGGGATGGCTGACCCCATAATTTCTCGTTCAGAATATTTTCTTTGGTTAACGAATGCTGGAAAACCGATATATATATATACATATATATATATATATATATATATATATATAGGTTTTCTCATATCTCTATATGTTAAAATGTATTTGGAGCATATTTACTACAGAGAGGTATTACTACACGTATTCACTTGCTTCAGCTGTAATCCCTCAATAATCGAAAACCGCGATGGTACTACCCACTCGTCATCGTACCGCTTCAATGGTTTGAACTGGGATTGGTTGCTCGGAAGACATGGAACAGAGCAGTTTTTTCCTTCAAGTGAGGCACTGTGTTTAGTGAGGGTATCCACCCAACATTCGCACATACACATGTGAATACGCGCGGGAAGCATAAGTTAATCCAGCTGAGGAAACGAGACCGGTCGTCCATTTCTTGTCTACTTAGGCCACAAAAAGTGTTTCATCACTTTAACTCCAATTCCACTCTTCTATCGGCTAACCATATAAGCGTCGACATGCACCTCGACACTTTCTATTGATATTTTGATAGTTGAATTACCTGTTTTCACGAAGAATTATAAATGATGGAATACAACTTTCATCTGGCCAGTGCTTTACCGATTAAACAAGTTTTTTTTTTCTAAAACTGGAGTCTCACGGCAACCTGATCGTGGCATTTCCAGGACTTGAGTACAGGCTATAGCTGGGCTTCAAGATGGAGTGTAACTGCTTTTTAGTCTTGTGGACCTTGCCACGTGATGAAGCCCTGCTCTACTTAACGCTTCAACGCAATTTTTACTAAGTAGGAATCACGTACCAAGCCAAATCTATGAATTGGCAGATAGTCCGAGTTGATTATACGAAAGTGCTAAACTTTATAGGTACTATATGGTGCTAATGACTTGAAAGCTTTTGTTTAAGATTTTTCAGTATTCTCTGGAATTTTTTTCAGTGAAATTTCTCTACTACACAAGCCTTGGATGAATTTATAAACAGTTCTGGGAATTCTTGAAATTGATTCTGACAGACGCCTCGAATTCCTTTGCTTTTTAACCACAGTGGTTTTCCTCTTGTTTTCATAGGCGCACGAAACATCAAATATAATCGTGAAAACTGTAAGACAGTCACTCTTATAACTGGTTGCTGGTGATTACTAACTCTTCTTCAGGTTCGGAAACGAGTTCAACGGACGTTGATGATTCTCGACGGAATGAGTATACCATTCGACGTCGTAGACATCACAAAACCAGGTGCTAGAAAATTCCATCACTATCCGAAGATGAACACGAAATAATATTTCCCATAATCTTCTCAGCAGTTGCTTATCTTCATTCAACCTCGAAAAAATGGGAGCCTACTTCACATCTCATTCCAAGTTTTCTTTCTTAACAAGGACCCTTCAAATTTTTGTCACCCTATGTGAACTTTGGTTTTGAATACTTCCTCCAACTCATTTCCATGCTTGTGCTCGATTTTTCGTAACCTTTCATAATTTTTATAACTTTATACTGTGAGTTATGAGCACGAGACGGCCCTTCTGTAGTTTTATCGAACATTTTTTGAAATTTTCTACTTAACTCGTCTTCACACCTACTGAGTGGATGTCGTTTCCTCGCTTAAATCACCCCCGAAGAACTTAGGATTCGCGTGTGGGTTCGGCTGCTGTATGAGGATTGTCATCTTCTTTATGGATGTTGTTCAATAGTAATGGAGTCGATTCTCCTGAAATCCTTGGATAGTCGGGCGAGAGCGTTCCTACTTCGATTGTAGGGAGTAAACTGTTTCATGATAAGTCTGCTACCGACTCTCCACCCCAGTGTGATTAGAAGATTGGTGAACCCGAAGCGGGGTTGAATCAGCACCGCGCCCGTGATGGACGACATCGCTGGCACAGCACTAACTGCTCCCTGTTACTGAACGTGTTTCTTAGAACTTCCAATCTCAGAGAAATTTCTTGAGTAAAGCATAATTGGTAGGACGAAATATGCAGCTTCTAAAGCTTCTACGCCTCAAATAAAATTAAAGGATGTGGAGCCGAAAGAAGAACTGTGCTCTTGAATTTTCTGTAGTTTTCATCTGATGATGAGTAGTATGGAAGGCTTGAATATCTGCGTCCGTTTCATCCCATTAAAGCTCTTTGGTAGTGGGTCTTTTGGTATTTTTGCTTTTGGTATGAAGAGCATTTTCATTAATGAGTTCCTTCATCGTGAACCGTGCGCGAATCCTATAGGTGAGAGCCATTAAGTCGAGCCAGTAGTCCATAAGTTTTAAAGCCCTTTTAAATGGATAAAGTGTTAAAATGGGAAAACATGATATGAAACATTTAGAGATCCAGTTAGGAAGATGAACGGTTCTAAAGGTCAATTGAGTCCTCATACGAAACAAACTCAGAGGATTTAAGAGTTATTTATCAAGTTTACCTATTCGTATACGGTCGTAGGCAAGATGTGGGTCATAGATGGCATCGTTTCAGGTAATGAGGAACAACGACAGTTCATGAAGGAGCATGCGGTCAAAGGTGACTCGAAGGAACCTCCACTTCCACCGCAGTTCTTTTACAACGACGAATATCTAGGAGTAAGCTTATCCCACCAATCATGCTCCGCGTATAATTGGAGTAAAAAAGTCATGCTTTCACCGAATGCATCAAATTCCGATGGAAAATGTTCTTCACCATTTCAACTAAGAAGTTCAAATGCTGAAATTGCAGAACTTTATTGACTTCGAAGAAGCCGTTGAAGATGATCGAATCGCCGAATTCTTTCGACTTATTCCAGATGAGGTAGTCTTTTCAGTTTCCCCTCTTCACTTAGATGCAGTATGCATGTTCTAACCACGGGCATGGGTTTGAGTGTAGTATTGGAAATGTTGAGTGTTCACCCAATTTAAACTATACCAAGAGTGGCTGGTTAACTAAAATTTAGCTAGTTAGCTGTAAAAGGTTACTATTGAACATTGTTCAAGTGCAGCGAGATGTTCTTTTGATTCTCTACTTTCTATTACGGTATATTTGGCCCTAGATCTCTATTGCTGCCCAAACTCACAACGCGAAAACTGCCTAAACATCTGGCAGCCTATAGAAAAGGACATTGTAGTATCACACTTTACACCAAAGTCCGAGACATTTTCAAACATCATTGCATAAAACAATGATGGAAACGGCAAGCGACAAGCTACTAAAACTGAAGAGTCAGTTTTTCCACTACTGCGTTTTTTGATGACGCCCCCAAAATCGATATCATCATGCCAGTATCTTTCGTAAGAAGAAAGATTTGGACGAGGAACTATGTTATCCTAGTTCTGTTTTTTAAGATAATTTAAGAGAGGCAGGAATAATCCTTATTGCAGTGTTCTTTTTTTTTTTCTTATTAACAACTAATAACTCTCATCGTACAGTGCAAAACAAAGTCGGACGCCGAGAACAAGGAGAATCACGTCGAACAGGGTGAGCTCTTTTCTTGCTTTCGGTTCATTAGAATTGATCTCAGCATGTTTTCGGTTGCTCACAGTCTTCAGGCGCCACAACAGCCTCCTGAAATTCAATTGGGCCTTTACTAATCACGTAATTATCGTAATCCAAACACCATCTATAGAATAATTCGCTGCAAACTTCTTCAGTCTAAGAGTTCTTATGAAATTATTCTTATCCCCTAGCGATATCCTAGCTTTGAATTCATCCAGTTGGAACATATCCTTCCAAGGTGCTAGCCGTTGTCAGTTGATGTTCTGACCACGTCCCATATTTTAACGCCTGTTATTTACGAAAAACTTCGTTTGGTTTAGGTCATATTTTAGGATCAGTGGAGTTTTAAGTATGACAGATTTTGCTGGATTCTCGTAAAGCGCTGCTTTTTTCAGGACTTAGAACCGGCGGCGAGCAGTGAAGACAAGAAAGCGGTATGTTTAAAGAAGGGATAACAAAAATTAGAGTTTGTCCAAAGAACTTTTTATTTATTCTTTCAGTGTTTATTACCACTTTTAGTTATTTTGTTCCCTTATTATACAATTTTCACTAGAGTTTGTGAATGTTTACGCTGTAACAGGGATCACAGTGATGAATGAGTGACTTTCCTAAAATGATGGACACAGAAAGAAAAAAGTTCTAATATTGTAGAAACGTAGAATAGATTTAACCAAACCCTTGAAGGATTGAATGCAGTTAGCGGGTGAAATCATGCCGTTAATTCAAGACAATGAAAAAATAGATCTAAGGAGGATATCACTACATAAAAAGCCAAGAGACTGTGATTTAACGAACTCTGAAATCTACAGTCTCGCAGTCTGCAATGCTTATCCGTTCGCAGATGATCAACTAGTTGAGATTCTATAGCAGTTAACGAGCAAAGGTGGGCTAGACCGATCCTTAGACAGGATTTTTTCTCTGAAAGAACTTCGTCGCTGTTGGTTCTCATTGTACCAAAAGAAAGAGAAAGAATTTCTAAACTGCAAACGATACGTGTTTAAGCCGTTCATCAGGAAGGAAAATTATGAATATTCATTGTTTATTACACTTACGATAAAAACAAAGAATAAGTAGGAATGAATGAGAGAGTGGTTGACTGGAAATAGCCATGGCTTTTTAGGTCAACTCAAATGGTCAGAAAACCATTAGATGGAATATCCAATTTTGATAAGAATTAAGGGAGAAACTGTCACAAACACGTCGGCCGTTGCTGATAGTACATATAAGCATTTGCTTCTGATATTCCTAATTTCCTGCATTTCTCCATGAGTTCAGTGCATTTTAATGAAATGTAGTATTGTTGGGCATTTGAGCAGGTGTCGTGGTGATTTTTCATGCTGTAAGACTTCTAGTATAGTTCATAACTTGTAGTATCGGAAATATTCCGAGCAACATGTGAGCAATCGGCGCCACATGCCTCGTTACACACTGAACTGCATGGGCGGCGGTCACTCTGCCTACGACGGATCATTGGGGAGAGTCGACGAGAACCTCATTCGATCCTGGATTGCACTCGTTCCCTCCTGATTCCTATCCATGAATGAACAAACTTCCAGAAAACTAAAGAGAAAAGCCTTTGACGACTATAGTGGAAGATGAACCAGTTCAAGTGCGCCTTTTTTTGCGATGAAAGTAGGTAACAGACAGCGAAAGAAGTAATAGCAGTTAGCTGAAGTAAGACAGTTATGACACGGACAAAAAAAAAAGGAAAAAAACTGTTTAGAGAAACTATTTTTAAACTATGTATTTAGCCAATTCAAACCACTGCGAAACTGTTACTGCAAAAAAGAATCAGGTTTCGAAGTTGATGTGATTTGAAAAGAAAAGAGTTGAGGCAAAATCATTAGTTATATATACAATAAAAATCTGCATTGATTGGAGTTATTTACATTTGAAACTATTTAAACGTTCAAAATTATGCTTTTCCAGGACAAATCGGGCAAGGAGAGCGAAAATGGGGTAACGGGTATACAGAACGACGAATGCGAAGGCGAAGATGAAGAGGAAGATGATGGAGAGGAAGAAGAAGAGGATAAAGGTGAAGATGAAGACGAAGCAGAAGGCGAGGACGAAGAAGACGAAGATGAAGGTGAACAAGAAGGTGAAGAAGGAGAGGGAGATGAAAATGAAGAAGTCGTAGAACACAAAATGGCACTGCCGACGTCAACAGGACCCACGGAACGAGAAGGCAAAGATAGGAAGGATGATGTTGAGGTCAGTAATGTCGGTGAATAACGGTGATTACTTGTAGATTAAGAATTCTATCTAGCATTCGCGTTTCGCAAAAGGAAGACAGACAGGTGTTTCGAAGGTGATTTTGAATGATAAATAGTAGGCTTCCTTGATACCAAGATGGTGGATCTTCAGATATCATACGGGGAAACTGCCCTTGCCCAACTGGATTCGTTTTGGCAACCACTATTTGGGGAGTTAGCCGGGCTCTTGTGTAGTTCCAGCTTCTGTTTCAAGATATGTCTTATCTACTAATTGGCTAAACGAATGTGACTCTCGAAAGTGGAACTCCAGACAGCCGCGTTAGAGAGTTTTGAGGTGTTCACTACAGGTAGTTGCCGACATATAGGAATAGGAGAGAGCTTCTCTGTTTATTAGTCGTGATTCTTCGAGGACAACACCAATGTCTAAGGCGGTACCAATTCCTACGATTAATCGACCGATGACTGATCACGGTCTCATGAATAGTCACTTAATACTCACATCTCTCTTGTTGGTCGTGTACTTGGTTAATCTGTTATTTTACCTTCTAGAATGAAGAAATTTAGGGGTTGCGAGGGGTATCCTCTGAAATGGCGACCGGTTACGAATGATATCTTTAATTTGCCACAAAATGATAAGTATTTCAAAGATTTTAGTAGTGCCATTTAGTGCTGATGAGCAAATGGTAGCTTCCTCAAAATGTGAACAGAAAGTGCTTCCCCAACTTATTAGAAGGAAACCTCTCCATTAAAAAACTGAACTGGGGTAATCATGATCAAACCCCGTAAATAACTGACATGTTAATAGGTGTTTCGAAGAATTAACGGTACTCGTAATCCAAGCGTGAATTTGATAGGGCAGTAGTTTAGCTTTGAGAATTGCTTTCATGACGAACTTGTAGTGTCAACCAATAAAAATTAATGTTTCTTCCTTAGCTGCTAACAATACCGGTTCCACCAAAGGTGTGAGAACTTGGTTAGCGTACAAACGGCGTATAAGCCAGAAAGACGAGAAAAGCGTGTAAACCACAGTGACAGTTCATTGCACTACGATTCCTAATAAATCTTGCGCCTCTATTATCCTTCTTTCACACTGCAAAAGTACTGCTTTACCCATAAACAGGCTTAAGTCGCTAGGACCATCCTTCATTGTTTGTCATATATTTTAAATATTATCATTAAGGTCGAAGAAACTGCGACGATACGCCTAAGCGACGACACGGTAAAAAAACACATCGACAGTGGAAAAAATGGTGGAGACAAAAAAGAAGCGAATGAAGGTGAAGAGGAGGACGAAGAAGAAGGTGAAGATGAGGAGGAAGGTGAAGATGAAGAGGAAGGTGAAGATCAGGAAGAAGGCGAAGACGAGGAATACGAAGAGGAGGAAGAAGCTGAATGATGTTTATGGGGCACTCACACCACATAGGCTCAACGAAATCTTCCACGACTGAACTTAGGGACTGCCGAAGTACCCAGTCGACAGTTGCATTACGATGTGGCTGCCCCCACTTCATCAACATCGACAAGGTATAACACTATTCATTGAAAGCATTGCTTGTGCGCATAAGCATTCGTCGGGTATCCTGGGGTTGTAAATTTTGGAACCATATTTTATTCTTATATTAAAATGTTTTCAATTCCACAAAAGAGCGCTTTCTCGTGTACATCTTCTTGTACCGATTTGTCACTTTCTTCTTGTATATGTCAAATTAACCTAACTTGTTCGTGTTTCTAGCAATGTACATAAGTAGCAATGAAAGAACAAAGTGAATTGATTTGTATTTATTGTGCTTATCACATTTTCATACATAGGAAATGAATCGATTTTCTTAGTATCGCAGTGACATTAACTGATGAAGCAACAAAATATAAATGAAAAGTATGAATCTACAGAAATGGTCAGCACACTTATCTTCGGTAGAATATCAGTCAGTAACTTCACGAAACTTGTGGAAAATCACAGAAAGCCGAGCAGAGTCTATCTGAGATAAGTTTCAATAACTTACACAAGTTCAGGTTACTGCATCATTTCATTCAACGATTCATTCAAAGGAGACAAGAGATAGTAGGAAACATGTTTTACCTCAAAAAAACATGCCGATAACAAAATCTAGTGTTTATAAGAAACACATAGAAAGAACATATATTTAGAAAAACCAATGTTAAACATTGGTTTAGTGCAAAATCTCGTAGCCTTCACCGCTTGGCTGTCAAAACTTCGAATTACTATAGAAATCATCTATATCAGTCCTTTCTTCGAAAGCTCAGCTGTACTAGAGATAACTACTCAAAAGTTAGCGGCGAGTTATTGAACAAAATACTGCACACAAGGTTCCCAGGCTCGAATTTCTATTAACTTCGACCCTGGATTATAAATGCGTCCTTCTCGTCTTCAACAATCACGAGGTTGTTATACAGCATACTTTAATGTACAAAAACAACAGAACAGCAACTGACGTTTCGGCAGAATCGCCTTCTTCAGAGCCTGGAAGGGCACACTAATATGCAACTAACTAGGTCAAACGTTTCAATCATACAAAAAGATGGGAATCTAAACGGCAATCGCACGGTCAACAGCTCCTCCAAAACCCACCGTTTTTGGGTGCCTTCCACTTAGGAAGAGCCGCTGATCAGCGTTGCATATGGTTGATGACTGCACCACCCCACATCAGAAATTTATACGAACATATGGGCTAGGTCGCGTGTGACCTCTGGGCATTCCTCCATTGTAGAGTTCTTGGCATTTATCCAAACAGCATCAAGAAGTTTGCGCGTTGGTGTTTTAAGATCTCGCGCGAGGATATTGACTTTTACATCAAATTCGTCTCAGCTGTGCTTTCGTATCCTATGCGTGCCTAGTGGGGTACTTCATCTTACTTTTCGTTTACCAACTATAGAGAACTTCTCTCTTGAAAAGTTATCTATCTATCTAAATAGCAGTATTTGAAACCTAAATATGGCCTCCTCGCACTCGCACATCAAACACAGCAATGTAACCTTTGTAATCTTCTCGATCAATTATGTACAGTGTTTCAGGCACAATAGCGATTCAGGTTTGACTTCAGGAGCATAGCGAAGATGGCTTATCCGAAGGAGGCGTAACCATAGAACAGTTTACTACTTCCTTGCGAAACAACGAAGCTAATGACGTTTGATGTTTCAGGCAGTTAGGTACAGTCTATTGCGGTCCAGGAACGCTCGCGGCTCCCGCAGCCGATATAAGCCAGGTGCCTTCTACGGCGGAGACATGCCATCACTCACCTTACCCCGATCGCTAGCGCGGATAATTCGCTCCTCAGAACATCATCCTCAATCATCCTCAATCACCTCAACTCATTCTTAGTCATACTCATTTATTTTTATTCAATCACATTCATTCACACATTCACATTCATCCTTCAGTAATCAGCAGATTATTGTATATCGTTTCTCAGCTTGTCTACGGTGCGATGGCAGTAGTGGCGGGTGTTTCCAAATGCGTTCTATTTGCTACGCCATCGGTGGCATGTACCAACAATGGAACTCCCACAATGTACGCAATGCGTACAATGCCGGTAAGCGGCCTTATTAACTTATGCTATGTATTCTGCTAAGCCGCTATAGGCCTATCAGTTTTGTGCCCATTCATCATACTGGCCCTTTCCCTTAGGCAATGGTGGCACCCATCGATGCTCAAAGTTCACGTTGCTGACATAGCGTTATTCACGACCAGCCGCCTGACTGTGTTCCGTAGATGACTCATCATTCACTGTCCATAGCACCGTCAACGATCATGTAACTTACAGTCCTCATCTGTCCACTAAAATGCTCCTCATAGCTATAATGTTGAAATCTTAGCTTGGCCGAAACACGGCCAGTCTGTAACCCTCACCACCTCAGCATACTGTCTCCCTCAGCCGCCGCGCCGGCCGCGAATAGACGCGGCGCGGCATCGCTTACGGCTAAGCAAAGGCTACTTCGTTGTAATCACATTATTATTGTTAATATTGTGTTAATGGTATAATAATGTTTGAATGCCATTGCCTCATTGTTTAGCCTCACTTCACTACAGGCCTTAGCAGCTCAGAGCTCTAACTTGTGTTATTCCTCTACCATTACTTCTCTATCGTTACTATCATGTTATTAGCGTTGTATTTATGTATTAAAGGTTTAATTACCCAAGTTTGAGGCTGGTAGATCAACTACAGCAATTAGAAGACCCGCGTGGCTAATATTCTACATCAATCCGAACCGCTACACTTCGCCGCTAACCATTTCGTTACACCAACTAAATGTTCTTTTATACGGATACACAAAGGTCTGCCCGTTTCCCCAATATATTCATCTCCGCAATTATTACAAGAGATCGGGTATATCGTACCTGAACTCATGCAATCACCGTCCCTGCCGTAAGGGCAAATTGCGCAATTTGTTGTTTTGTTGTTTCACATAGACGGTCACACAGGCGGTTACGAACTAACTGACGACGTAGAGTAGACGGTGGTATTTCAACTACCGTTACCGATTCCTCTAGACCTGCCCTTCTTAAAGATCGTTTTATAGCTACGCTTACTTCATCGCTTATAAAAGGCAACATAAACAGGACTTTCTTTTGACGATGTGTTTCGCTTGTGCGTGTCGCTCTCCTTCTAAACTTATCTCGTGGGGTTACTATTTCGTAGCCATTGGAGATGGCTATTTACCGAGCCAAGTGGTGCGATTTTTCCTTTAGTTCCCTGGTTTTGCACACAGAGGTGGCTGTTCGAAACATATTTCCTACAAGCGCCCTCTTTGTGTGTGAAGGGTGGGAAGAGAGGAAATGAACGAACACGTTGTTGTTGCTTGGTTTTTTGTTACGTAACTGTTATCCGATAAGTTGACTTAGACGTTAAAAAATAGAAGCCAATTTTGTTTTAATTTCTCCTGGGTGAATTTGATGTACTCAGACTGCTCATTCAACAATTCAAAGCATTTGTTCTTCTCCTCCCGAGTAGAGAAAATGATAAAATAGTCACCTATATATCTATAGTAGAGTACCGGCCCGAGATCAATAACGGGAGCTTCTACTTTGGAGATGAATGCAATGGCGGGACGTGGTGTCAGTCGCTGTCCCATTGCCAGCCCTCTCATATGCGCGCGGTGTTTCTTAGACCATCTAGAAATCGAGCAGTTCAGGCACTTTTTAAATTCCATATTTGTGCACTGTTCCTTCATGTTAGACAAGAAATTTGAGGATGAGTTGCATTGTAGTCACTGAACACGTTAATGTAAAGCGCGGAAACGTCTAAGGACGTATGCGTTATTAAGAGACACTTTACCTAAACGTTCTATGGACATTTGGGTGTTCGTGAGGTGAGCTGGAATATGTTTAAGCAACTGGGTTAGTATTAGGCTTAGAAACCAGACTATGCTATCCGTTGGCCCGTCTACACAGCTGATGACTGGTCTAACCTTAAATGATGACGGACTAGTTGACGCAAGACCATCAGGGTGATACCAATTTATGTGTTTTAACAAGTAGGTATAGGACGGGATATGCTGGTTTTTCGATTTTAAAGTGCGAAATAACCGATGATTTTAAACATGCAGCCTTTGCCACACTAACCCATTGATTGTTCAGCTTTCGGTATTGACTTTTGTATTCCCTTTCAGATGATGGGCGATATAGAGTAACATCACTAAGATATTCGTCCGTTATCTTAGCATCTAACTGGTAATGAACAACTACGAACTCTCCCCTTTTATCATTAACTGATAGTCTAGTGGTCTTCGAATTTATTAGTTTCCCAATTTCTCGCATAGGACATTTTTGTGCGGTTGTAAGGTTAAACTTTCTATCGTGATGGTGGACAAGGGTTTTGAGAGCATCGTTCGAAAACACGCGGAATTTTGTAACAATTTCGACGTTTGGGTTCTGCTGCCTACAGAACGCTTTAGGAAAAGGAGATGGTGGTAATAGCGCCAGTTCATCATTTTCATTTCTATTTGATATTTCTTTTATAGTCTTATAGCGCAGTCGATCTTGAAGTTCACATAAACTGCATGCGATCCTACGCACGGCTGCTTTAGAAATGGGCTGTGATGGTGAAACACTTGGACCCAATTCTAGTAGTGAGCGTGCATTCTCAGGTATGGTCATGCCTCCAATCACGGTGACCCTAGATTTTCTTGGTGCATTATCAACTCTATTTTGGCTGTTATCAGAAACGTAAACAACTTGTTTGTGGTTTCTTGAAGCTGAGATATGTAAATCACTCAAAATATTTCTGAACTTTCGTTGTAAGATTACTTAAGCAATAGACCTAGTAGAATCGCGTATCAATATTGACACACCAACTAATCTCGCCCAAAGGTGATCCTCCAAATACAACGTACAAAATGTTCTTTCGTCTTACATTTCTTCATTCTGTCGAACGTATCCTTCTACTTGCTTCGTAGTGCAGGTCAAAGTAGTTTCATTTCGAGGAGTCGTACTTGTTGGATGCCTCCTAGTTGACCACATATTTCGTGAAGTCGCTTTCGTTTTATAAACTTCGGCACGACTCGATGTTGAAAACAGCGACAGCAAAAGTTGATTTGTTGTTTACCTAAGACAGACTTTTGTCTTAGTGACAGTGCTTTCACAAGTCGAAAGTATTTTGCTGGTACATCTTGTTACAGGTCACAGGATCGACTTTCCATTAACCTCGGGACTGGATTATAAATGCGTCGTTTTCTTGTTTAGCAATAGCTAGGTTGGCACATTTATTTATATGGTCTTATAAACTGATCTTTTTGAGCTGATACGAGGTTGGCATAGATCTTCGTTGTTGTTGTTGTCGTTACTGTTGGTGATGTTCGTCGATGGGTGACGTTTCGACGATTTCCCTTTCCTCACAGCCGTGCTGTTACGAGTGGGACTCAGATGTTTCTGACGTTTCGGCAATATCATCTTCTTCAGAGCTACCGTGTGTTTTTGTACGGAAATGCATGCTATATAACAACCTCAGGATTGCTGAACAAGGAAACGACGAATACATACATAGTTGATTAATACAATTTTGAATGAATCACTTTTGCATGCGAATTTTGATGAAAAACAGGACGAACTTTTGCATCAATCCAATACTTTCTCATCACCATTACAAAATATACAAGCAAAATATACGGGCCTATGTGCTCGGTGTTTGGGCAATTAGAAGAGAATGACTTACTTTACAAAAAGTTAATCGGTTCCAAAATATTTCATGGCGAAACTATACGGTACACTGGTCGTTACGTCTGATGTGATCACGGTCACTCGAGGAAACTTGGCGCATATATTCTTCACACCTTAAAAACACCCATAAGAACCAAAAATACGATGTTTGAGAAACCCAAACTGCCGAAATATTTGAGGCAGCATGTACCAAAGTGGTTGTTGAAAAATTATGGAAAATATTAACAATGTAAACCAAATACAACTATCAAGTATCCAATCCCAAAATCTTGCCCACTGATGAAATTGAACCAACCAGCTTTAACTTCTCAGATTTGGAAACAATCAACTCCGAAAGAGAAAAAAAACAGTTCGTTCGGCATACAGTGCTAATCTATTCGTATTCGGACTACTACTTTTTTCTTGGTGAAACAAACTTGCCTCCAAAATAGCAAATATTTCTATCTACAGCATGATGGGAACATTTCGAATCTTTCTTTAAATTATATTTTATACTATGCGACATAGTTAACCCAAGAAACTAGGCGACAAAATGCGAGTGCCCATAGCGACGGCCAACCGCATACAGAAACTGATAATAAACGTACTCTGAGGAGTGATGAATAATGTTGTAAGATATATGTTTCCCTCTGCTACTTTTGAATCGATCAATGCACTGACTGCCTTCAACACAGTCGCGCCGGTGCTGTAAACTACTACTTTCATATGAAGAAATTAGGACTCTAGACCAACTCAATCTAAAGTTTAGCGAATGAAAAACAAACATAGAAATCACTTTTTATTTGGTGCTTATTCTTTATTTATGGCAGCGTGTGATGTGAAACATAACTGCAATAATGCTGAGATATTTGCAGAACTCCGGCGGACCGCTAGTGTATGCGGCGGGGAACGAACTTCGTTATTTTAAAAATCATCATCGTATCATGCGAACACGCTAGCTCCCGGAAATGGTAGTAGCGAGGTTCGGTCGCCGCCATAACAAGGTATTTTACCGGTTGCTCGGGATTTTTATAGAACCATTGGTAATTATGTCCTTCAAATCACTAACGTACCACATGGGTAAGGAGACATTTCAACATAGAGTTTTATATGTAACAAATTACATCTTTGCAGGACCATATTTCATATGTAAAATGGAATATACTTCTCAGCAAGCGAACAGCCCATCAATGACTAATCCTGCACAACTGTGCAACTCAAAATTATGAAATATACCTAAAAACGTTCTAATGAGCCTTAAGAGTTTACGTGACCGAAAACTGCTCAGATAGCGATGGAATAGGTTAATGGTCCCTTCTCGATTAACTACTATACTGTAACATAAAGTGCTCGCCGATAAAAAAACATTAGGATATATAAAACTTCAGTACAAAACTCAGTGATTTTACTACAATGGTGAGGTATTTGCAAAACTCCGGAAATGACAATAGCGCGTTCGCTCCCACCACAGACACCTGCGGTCCGGAGTTTTACAAATATCTCAGAATTATACGAGTTATATTTCGCAACATACCCTGCCGTTAAAAAGAATAGGCAGTAAATAAAAAGGTTAAGATCAGTGATTTTAGTTTTCCCGCAGATTACATCAATGCCACTAGTAGATTAACGATATCGCATTGTAGAATCATTCTACAACTTTGTAGTTCAACTACGAATTTGAATTACAAAGGAGGAAACAACGTGATCAGTGATACAATGATAAGAGATCACCGATAAGATCTGAAGCATGTTTCAGATCACCTCCATAACACGATTTTTTTGATGAGAACTTGTAAAAAGAAAACAATCGTCACAGGTCTTGAATCTCTTAAATGTTTCAATACGTATTCTTTCCTCGATAACCTTACACGAGATTGATAAATAATCTTTACTTTATACTGGTTGAATGTCTAATTAAATTGTACTTTATGTCTCTTAGATGTTATGTACCATACAAGAACAAAACCTATGAGTCCAAAATTCAGAGGATAAGTCAGGTAATAACGATAGCGCATAAGAATATCATATTCTTCACAGAGGTATGAATTAGTCCGTGTAATGGAAAAGTGACCACATTAAACATCCCCAACTTACAACATGACCAAGGAATTGTAAAAAACAATGGTGTTTAAAAGTCAAGTTCATCTATTTCCTAATCATGATTGCTAAATTAAATTTAGAGACGCCTACCTTACAACTGGGTAGAGTAACAGAACTCTACGATTGGACATATCTGGGATCAAACGGGCGTATAGAACTCGTTGTTCGTCTCCTAGAAACTGACCACCTTAAATGTAAGGCGTTTGCGATTCAACAACTTTCTATTATACATATAATCAGATGTTTAAAGGTGCTATGTGGAGTGTTCTCAACTGGAAGACAGGAGGTTAAACGCTCAAAGCCAACCTTGTACTTGCCCTCACTCCTTACACGCAAGTGAATTCGAAGGATAATTTATTTGTAGATGCACTTCCACATGTTCATGAATGTATTCCACATATTATCGGCCTTCCAAAGAAATTCCATTAAATCGAAAAATACATTGGGTAAATAGACGCATGAGCAGTGGTTAGAGGTACCCTGCTATATATATGGGTTCGATCCCGTTATTCGTCGTTCCGGAGTCAGCAAATTGGCACCAGACCTGTACAGGAGGATAGCACCATTGATTCGACACATCGGTAGGCCGGTAGGTGAGTCATTTTGAAGACCAGATATGCATTCAATCACTTCTAAAGATGTTTGATGAAATCGACTGCATGGTGCATTCCTCAGGGAATCCTCAGGGATCAATGCCGATAGTTTTACCCTTTATTCTTTTTTACCGGGCAATTTGGAAAGGAACTGCCAAATATGGAATGTGTGACATATCATTACTCAATTGAGGTGACCCAATGAGCATTACCGGTGAGCGAGAAAAAACAAATGGAAATGCCGCTATATCGCTCGCAATGGTCAATGATTAGTGGGTTTAAAAGAAATAAAATTGTAAACGTAACATTCTCTATAACATTGAATCTCCACTTGCCTATTAACATTTTGCAGATCCTAATCGACCGACAACACTGTCTCAGCGCAAATTCCATAGCTTCACCACTTCGACATAAGCTCACTCCACAATTTCCGCGCATAAACCGTATCCCTATATGGAACATAGCTGTCTAAGAATACTTGCAGAAAACACAGCATTGTACAGCAGAACATCGCGACATCACCTGTGAAGAAAAGATCATGGCATACCTTTGTATTGACAATGGGTAGGTGTAGTGATTGTGACCTCTGTATAAGGTAGCTTGTTCAATGCTTCTTCAATAACCAAACGCATGAGACGATCAGCATAAAAAACAAAGTCCGAATGATCAGTATTTCTAAAGAAAGAAGTACTGGAAGAGATCAATCAGTCATTCTGATACAGACTGTGAAAGTACTGTGAAAGATTGTTCGTCGTTTACATAATCGCCGATGATAACAATTCATTCCGTTTTACGTACGACTATAAAGCGCACGCAAACCACATATCCTTGCCACCTCCTCAATGATTAAGAGAATCTCCACCCTCCATGAGCGTCACTGAAGCTGCTGAAGCTTTGATGCTTCGATCAGAAAGCCTAATACGGCGCAAAGCACCGCCAAAAACTGCCGTCTCAACCGTCCTGGAAGACACTTTCTCGCAATCCTACGAACCTCCAGTCCGTGAGTAGCGTCGGCGGTACGAGGTGACGACAGAGCAGTGATCGAGTATGCGTTTCGAGAAAAACCAAGAAGAAAACCATGCCAAAGTAACAACAGAGCAGTTAGATCTAGAAAGTATTAGAGCACCTACAATACTTCACGAAGTTAGTTCATTAAGAAACTATGTTCCAAAAAAAAAGGTAACAAATAGCTACAACCTTATTGCTGACACTGCGAAAACCAAACATGTAAATAAAAAAACTACAATCACAATGATGCTGAGATATTTGCAAAACTGCGGAGCGCAGGTGTATGGGTGGGGATCGAACAAGCTATTAGCCATTCTCGGGCTAACGCGTTCACCACCACATCACGCAGTTCCTTCGTATCGGCTTCCTCTCAGCTAGTTTGATGTGCAGCAATACCAACAGCAATCACCCGTCAACCGGATCGATCTACGGAGCACAAGTAGGCAATGAAAAAGAAAAGAAATAGTTTGAACAAACCATTAAACGTAAATATTTCAGCATATTAGTCTGGCATCATGTTTCTCACTATGGTTCAATTTCGACGGGATGGTTTACCAGATTTGAGTTCCATTCGTAGATTTGCTAAGTGGATAAAAGCAGGTTTTCACATATTCAGATTGACTTGCCGCCAACCAGAGGTGAAAGCTTGTGACTTCATGATTCTTGCATAAATATGTTCATGGACAAAATGGACAACGCTTACGGCCAGAAGGCGATAGGTGGGCCTGGGAAAGTCTGGAACATACAGAAGTCATAATGGTATTCATTGGACTGTACCAACCGTCCCCTACTCCATAGATCGCAAATGTCAAGATTAAAAAAGGAAATATGCATAGAAAGCAAAAACTATAGAATGAACAACGTTCGTATCTCAACTACTCTCAGCCGGCGACCAGTAAGTCTATTATTTGAGAAGGAGAAGGCATATTAGAGCCTATATGAAGTGACAGAAACAAAAGAGATACATATCTACGTGATAAACTTCTCCTTACCTGTCTTTGAGAATGGTATGAATGAATGAAAAGTAGATTCTATATGAAGTACAGAGGCAAAAGAGATACGTGTCTTTGTGACAAATTCCTCATTACCTGTCTTCGAGAATGGTTTGAATGAGAAAGTAAAGCCTACACAAAGTGACAGAAGCAAGAGGGATACAGATAGCAACAAAAAAAAACCAAATTCAAGAGGTATATATATCTCTGTTACATATCTCTCTGATGAATTCCTCCTTACCTGTCTTTGAGAATGGTATGAAGTTCAACTATTTGGTCCGTATCTCTCAACAAAGCCAATGTACCACTCTCTTGAAGCTTAACAATTTCAGGATCTTTTTCCTTGTCTACGTTTTCTGACATCCTGAAAAACAGATGAACAATTATTCAAGAATATATGAATGTGTCCATCCCGAAACTATACTATTTAGCAGATATTCATATAAACTACGACTACTAAAGGGCACAAATATCTCCTTATTGATCGGATCAAGCCGCAACAGAAAAACATGGAAACTCGACAGGACTTGGTTATAAAGTGTATCTCTCAATACGTTCTTTAAGAATAAGAACCTTTAAAATGAGAACCTTACGAAATTGAGGAAGAAAGAACCTTTAAGAATTATTGCTTGCAACAACAATGAAACAACTGTACGAAACGTTAAGGACAGAGCGATGTTTAGGACTTGGTTTCATGTCCTGATAAGCAAAATGAAGAGAATTCTGGATAAAAGAATCCATCAAAAAAGTAGGAAGATCTCAACAAGACGCGTCGACTTCGTCAGGACGACTTCTCTGCGTCTCTGCGCATGACTTCGTTTCTCTGCAGTCTGTGCGCCTGGACTCCAGAGGTCGGCGGCGGCCGGATAAGGCAGCTCAGTGCCGTCCAGTGCGCCATCTGATCCTCCGTCCTTCCACGGATTTTCACCGTTTGACCAACATGAAGGATAAAAGAGAGTGCGCCATGCGTTAAGCCATCAAGCATTGTAGAGGTGATTGAAACCATGTCTAGCCTACGCTGATGTGTAAAGTCAGCGCTTTTGTCGTCCTGGACTAGTCTAGTATCACTTTGCCATCTGCGGAGGATGGAAAGCTTAATAAGCCCGAGTCACGTAGTCGAACTGGAGGCTCACCCAATGTGTGTTACAGAGCACCGCTAATCACTGCGCTGTCTTTTTTTTTACAAAAAGAATAAAAATTGTTGTAATTGGAATTTATTCTGCACCCCCGCGCTGAAGCCATGGGCACAATGTTGCTTTGCAAAACTCTAGGATCATCTCTGGTGGGCAAATGTTTGGCCTATAGGAAATAGTAGATATCTATTGGAATTATATCAGGCTCCTTGAATATCTCTTCCAACGTCTTATCAGTGCAATGCGGAAAGAAGCAATACAATCAAATTTTAGTTCCTCGCCGTAGTATTTCTTCCTTTTGACCCTCTAAAGTATTTTGGAATACAAAGACCTATAATACTTTTCTGTATTTCTTCAAACCTAATGTACATCTCGTCTTTACCCATATCATATCATATCCCATATCCCATACACACTACAAATCTGGAAAATTGGCGAGCGTATCAGAGCGGTGTCGAGGAGGGCACCAGTGAAGTCAGTCCTACTTCATCACTGAGCAGAGCCACACATTGCTCACAAAGAGCGGTGCACTTTTGCCGTTATGCCCTTTTTTGTACGGTTTTTTCCTAGAAAGTAGCGAGGAAAAACTAGCAGATTGTGCTTTGGCATAAGCTATTTCTTAGCTGTTCTTCAAGGTGAAAATTCGGAACTGCTTCTCAACTTGGAAGTTTCTCCCGAGGAATAGACGCTCGCTATACGACGCAATTCCACATCTAGGAACACCTCCAGCCAAATATGAAGGAGGCAGTTTGGTATTATATAGCATTAAATTTAGGCGCACTGGTTAAAGGTGTCATGCAACAGAGATGGCCTTTAGATCGATACCACGCTTAGTCTAACCAACATTTTCGTTCCTTGTAGGCTGGAAAGTTAATACCAGACTTGCGCGTCGTAACAGAAAGCATCGCTTTACATATAGATGGCCCTTTCAAGTCAGACTAAGTATGCATTGAGTCACCTCCACGAAATCTTTTTGAGATTAGTGCGAGACGCATCCTTAAGGACTAAGTAATGCTGAACTATGTATATTTTTATTCCTTTATAACCCTTAAATCACCGTTTCTCATACGCAATATGAAGTGCAACCATTTTTTGGAATACTGTGGTTAAAGTAAATTTTAAAGTTAAACGATATTAAGGCTTAAAGGCGATCAATTGTCTGCGCTGATCCTAGTACTTCACCAATTTCATTCGTTCCCTCGTATCCGTCAACTACGTAGGTCTTTGAACTTTTCACAAGTGGATTTGGTTGCTGCTTAAGGATTGTTGTTTTCCATACAGATGGTGCTGAATGCTACACCAGTCGATTCTCTCTCGACTCCACAAATAGCTGTGCTAGAGTGTTTTCGGGAGAATTTGAGAGAGTGTGTTGCTTTAAGACAAGTCTGTTACCAATTTATTGACCGTGAGTGGATGAATGGCTTGATGCGTGCGGGTCGGGATCGAAGCAGTACCGTGCTCGTGATGAATTGCATCATTATCATTGCGCTACCCGCTTTGTGTGCATTATATGTATATTTGCACATCTATTTATACACGCACATGGATACGTATGCCTATATATGTATCTATCCATATATGTGCATACACACAAAATGACAAAGCTCTTGGCACTGATCAATCCCCGAGGAGGGTGCCAATACATTCGGCTTCAGTAAGCATCGTTAGAGATGAACGAATGCATATCTCGCCTATACAGTGATTCGTGGTGGCCTATTGGAATCAGTGCTGCTATGCTCCCAGACAGGTCTGATAGCACTTCGCTTTGCTCGGAAGGATGGAAGCTTTGGTGAGCCTGTGGAGCGGGATCGAACTTATCTGTATTGCAGGGCGCCTCCAACCAGTGCACTAAACGCGCCCTTTAAATATATACGCATACATGGAGGCATATGCATATATATACATATACATGTAGATATATGCATATATATATATATATATGTGTACGAGGCACGTGTATCGCAGTGGTCGGAGGTGCCCTGCGATACACGCATAGGATCGATCCCCGCGCTCCAGGCTCCCCAAGCCTTTTATTCCTTCAGGGTCGGCACATTAGCACCAGACTTGTCTGGGAGGATAGTGGCACTGGCTCGCTACATCGATAGGCCACCGCGAGTAATTATAAAGGCCAGGTATTGCATTCAATCACCCCAACGATATTCAACGAAATGGAATGCATGGCACATCCCTTAAGGTTTGACATATATATATATATATATATATATATATATATATATGTCAAACCTTAAGGGATGTGCCATGCATTCCATTTCGTTGAATATCGTTGGGGTGATTGAATGNCATTCAATCACCCCAACGATATTCAACGAAATGGAATGCATGGCACATCCCTTAAGGTTTGACATATATATATATATATATATATATATATATACATGCATATACAAACGCGTATTTGGACACTTGGGTGACCCGTTTTCACGAGTTAAGGCGATTCCAGCACATTTTCCTTTCGTTTCTTTGCTTCGTAATCATCGT